CTGAAAAGGTTTTTAAAGATCCTGTAACTCAAATTTTTGTATGTTTTTTTTTATATAATAAATATGATGCTCAAATGAAGATTTATCAGTATTGAAAGTTCCAAAAAGCTTTATTTGTTAAGATATTATCAAATTTCCATTTCATGTAAATAAAGGGATGTTGTTAGAAATTTATTTTCTATAAAGTCTAAGCCAAACTTTTCAATAAGAAATGAATGCATATATTTTAATGATTACATATAATGCGTATAAACATTTGCAGTACATATTTAACATATTCTTGGATGTTTGAAAATTATTTTAGAAGAATAATTATATACTGTATATAAGATTTCACTTCAACATACAGGATCTTTAATGCTTTTCTTTGTTAATGGTTTCTGTTGTTTAAAGTATTCACTGAAATCAATATATTATAACATTGCTAATTATTATAAAACCAGGTTTGTTTGTGCAATACAAAAGAAAACTGTACGACCCTTTTTTAGCTCACCTGTCACAAAGTGACAGGGTGAGCTTTTGTGATCGCTTTTCGTCCGGCGTCCGTCCGTCGTCCGTCCGTCCGTCGTCCGTCCGTAAACTTTTGCTTTAAATGACATCTCCTCATAAACCACTGAGCCAATTTCATCCAAACTTCACAGGAATGTTCCTTTGGTGGTCACCTTTAAAAATTGTTCAAAGAATTTAATTCCATGCAGAAATCTGGTTGCCATGGCAACCGAAAGAAAAATCTTTAAATATCTTCTTTTAAACAACCCTAAGAGCTAGAGCTTAGATATTTGGCATGAAACATCTTCTAATGAGTGTCTACCAAGTTTGTTCAAATTAAAGCCCTGGGGTCAAAATTGGCCCCGCCCCAGGGGGTCATTGATTTTCCCTATATGCATATAGTAAAAACTTAAAAAATCTTCTTTTAAAGAACTGTAAGAGCTAGAGCTTAGATATTTGGCATGAAACATTTTCTAGTGAATGTCTACCAAGTTTGTTCAAATAAAAGCCCTGGGGTCAAAATTGGCCCCGCCCCAGGGGGTCATTGATTTTCCCTATATGCATATAGTAAAAACTTAAAAAATCTTCTTTTAAAGAACCCAAAGAGCTAGAGCTAAGATATTTAGCATGAAACATCTTCTAATGAGTGTCTACCAAGTTTGTTCAAATAAAAGCCCTGGGGTCAAAATTGGCCCCACCCCTGGGGGTCATTGATTTTCCCTATATGCATATAATAAAAACTTAAAAATCTTCTTTTAAAGAACTGTAAGAGCTAGAGCTTAGATATTTGGCATGAAACATCTTCTAGTGAATGTCTACCAAGTTTGTTCAAATAAAAGCCCTGGGGTCAAAATTGGCCCCGCCCCAGGGGGTCATTGATTTTCCCTATATGCATATAGTAAAAACTTAAAAAATCTTCTTTTAAAGAACCCAAAGAGCTAGAGCTAAGATATTTAGCATGAAACATGTTCTAATGGGTGTCTACCAAGTATGTTTAAATTAAAGCCCTGGGGTCAAAACTGGCCCTGCCCCAGGTGTCATTGATTTTCCGTATATGTGTTTAGCAAAAACTTAAAAAACTTCTTTGAAAAAAACCAAATAGCTAGAGTTTAGATATTAAGCATGAAACATCTTTAAGTAAATATCTACAAAGTTTGTTCAAATAAAAGCCCGGGGGTCAAAACTGGCCCTGCCCCAGGGGTGTCATTGTTTTAAACTATATGTGTATAGTAAAGACCTTAAAAAATCTTCTTTTAAGAAACCCAATGAGCTAGAACTTACATGTTTAGCATGAAACATCTTCTTATGGGTGTCTACCAAGTCTGTTCAAATAAACAAATAAAAGCCCTTGGGTAAAAATTGGCCCCGGGGGGGGGGGCTATATACAGGTGAGCGACCTCAGGGCCATCATGGCCCTCTTGTTTAAATTATATTTTATAGATCTATATTTATATAAAAGATGCTGTGAAATAAAAAAAGACATAATGAACTTGCATATCTTTTAAATTAGTGCCTTAATAATTATTTATATAATAATAACAGAAATTTTTATGTAAACTATGTTATTGTTGTTTCCTTTTTGGATATTTTATATTTGTTATTGTTTCCCTTACACCCAGCGTGTTTACCAAAGTATTAGGTATTTCCTCTCTCATGTTTATTGTGTTTACTTGTGTTTTAAAAGCTTTGTTCTAAATATTGTTTATGTTTTATAATAAAATTCCTTTCAGAAAAAATATGTTGTTGTTTGTTAACCTTACGTTTTTTCCTCTATAATTTGTGTACTGTTGTAACATGGGTTACATCTGCGGATGTTTCTAAATTCAAAATTTTACCATTTCATGTTTAAATGTTGAATTCTGCTTAAGCCTGTGCTAGGGGGCGTGGACGGTAGTTTGCAATTGACAGTACCGTCCATGAACAGGCTCAATCAAACCGAGCCTGCAACATTTTCAATTTTGATGTGTTGAGCTTTCTTTAGGGATTCTTATTTTTAGCTCACCTGTCACAAAGTGACAGGGTGAGCTTTTGTGATCGCTTTTCGTCCGGCGTCCGTCCGGCGTCCGTCCGTAAACTTTTGCTTTAAATGACATCTCCTCATAAACCACTGAGCCAATTTCGTCCAAACTTCACAGTAATGTTCCTCTGGTGGTCACCTTTAAAAATTGTTCAAAGAATTTAATTCCATGCAGAACTCTGGTTGCCATGGCAACCGAAAGAAAAATCTTTAAATATCTTCTTTTAAACAACCCTAAGAGCTAGAGCTTAGATATTTGGCATGAAACATCTTTTAGTGAGTGTCTACCAAGTTTGTTCAAATAAAAGCCCTGGGGTCAAAATTGGCCCCACCCCAGGGGGTCATTGATTTTCCCTATATGCATATAGTAAAAACTTAAAAAATCTTCTTTTAAAGAACCCAAAGAGCTAGAGCTAAGATATTTGGCATGAAACATCTTCTAGTGAGTGTCTACCAAGTTTGTTCCAATAAAAGCCCTGGGGTCAAAATTGGCCCCGCCCCGGGGGGTCATTGATTTTCCCTCTATGCATATAGTAAAAACTTAAAAAATCCTCTTTTAAAGAACCGTAACGGCTAGAGCTTAGATATTAAGCATGAAACATCTTCTAGTGAATGTCTACCAAGTTTGTTCAAATAAAAGCCCTGGGGTCAAAATTGGTCCCGCCCAGGGGGTCATTGATTTTCCCTATATGCATATAGTAAAAACTTAAAAAATCTTCATTTAAAGAACCGTAAGAGCTAGAGCTAAGATATTAAGCATGAAACATCTTCTAGTGAGTGTCTACCAAGTTTGTTCAAATTAAAGCCCTGTGGTCAAAATTGGCCCCACCCCGGGGGTCATTGATTTTCCCTATATGCATATAGTAAAAACTTAAAAAATCTTCTTTTAAAGAACCATAAGAGCTAGAGCTTAGATATTTGGCATGAACATCTTCTAGTGAATGTCTACCAAGTTTGTTCAAATAAAAGCCCTGGGGTCAAAATTGACCCCGCCCCAGGGGGTCATAGATTTTCCCTATATGCATTATAGTAAAAAACTTAAAAAATCTTCTTTTAAAGAACCCAAAGAGCTAGAGCTAAGATATTTAGCATGAAACATCTTCTAATGAGTGTCTTACCAAGTTTGTTCAAATAAAAGCCCTGGGGTCAAAATTGGCCCCGCCCCAGGGGGTCATTGATTTTCCCTATATGCATATAGTAAAAACTAAAAAAATCTTTTTTTAAAAGAACTCAAAGAGCTAGAGCTAAGATATTTAGCATAAAACATGTTGTAATGGGTGTCTACCAAGTATGTTCAAATAAAAGCCCTGGGGTCAAAACTGGCTATGCCCGGGGGGGGGGGGGGGGGGGTCATTGATTTTCCTTATATGTGTATAGCAAAAACTTAAAAATCTTCTTTGAAAAAACCCAAATAGCTAGAGTTTAGATATTAAGCATGAAACATCTTGAAAAGTAAATATCTACAAAGTTTGTTCAAATAAAAGTCTGGGGGTCAAAACTGGCCCTGCCCCAGGGGTGTCATTGTTTTTTAACTATATGTGTATAGTAAAAACTTAAAAAATCTTCTTTTAAAAAACCCAATGAGCTAGAACTTAGATGTTTAGCATGAAACATCTTCTTATGGGTGTCTACCAAGTCTGTTCAAATAAACAAATAAAAGCCCTTGGGTAAAAATTGGCCTGGGGGTGGGGGGGGGGCCTATATACAGGTGAGCGACCTCAGGGCCATCATGGCCCTCTTGTTCTCTATTTTAACAGTTTGAAGAAATGATTGTACATATAAAAAGTCATTATAATATACTGTTTAATTTAAACTTTACCTCGCTAAACATTATAAATGGATTGGTAATTCTTCAGTATAACAGCCCCCACCCCCATCCAAAAAAAAAGAATCACAAAAAAAATTCACTGGACAAATTTCAGAATAAGAACTTTTTAAAGAACTTACTGAATAGCAAACAGTTCAGACTGATCATAAAATTAAAGTTTTGTTTGTTTACTTTTCTTTTAAGTACACATGTTTCGCAAAAACCACACTATTAAAATAGCTGAATCATTTCTTAGCATGTGTAATGTTTTGTACAATTTATTGAATCTATGACTTGGTGTACATAAATTTAAACATGTGATCTAGGATGATTTGTATTGACAACAGTTTAGCTCCCAATGCAAAGGTGAGTAAAACGTTTGTTTCTCAAGTTGTTGAACTATTTTATAGTCATCATGAAAAAGTATGGCTTTATTTTTGATATTGTGCTTTTTGAATGTTGTATTAAAGTGTACCTTTTTTGTATATACATTCGTATTAGTATAGTTTTTTTCCTATGATAATTCTATTATTGTTGTAGTCTTTTGATGGAGATCCTTGTACTTAAATTTTGTGTTCTTTTAATTTCATACACATAAATGAATTACATTGAGCTCTCAATTAGTGACTATGTCATTAAGTCTTCGTCCTCATCGAATATATTTGACAGGTGTTTTTTTTTCTTCAGAAACGTAAGACTTTACGACAGACAATGCAGAACCAGAGGGAGAGCTTGAACAGGGTAAATTCCATTGCTGCAAAACCTGGAGTGATTGATAATAACAGTACATTAAATGCTGGAATACATAGATCAAGTCTTAAACAGCCAGGTATTGTTCGGGATTTGGATATTTTATTATGATTTTATTACCTTCCATTAAAGGTTAAAGCCTTTATATGGGTAATTATACATGTATTTCCAAAACATCAAACTTTAAAAAAAGTTCATTATTTGTAGTAAAAGAAAGTAGGTAAATCAAAATCCAAAATTTTCTCATACTACTAGAACGTAAAATATTGACATTTGTGAGCAATTCACTACGTATATATCCCACTATATCTCCCCAATAATTCTCACAGTAAGAGACTTTCTAGATATTTTTGACTTATTTGAAGTATTTCCTGGTCAGTCTGTATTGATCATATTGACAAAATGATCAAAATGACTTTGATGTTCATACTTAAAACAGTAACATGAATCTGTTGTATTAGTAATGGTAAAAGTTCAATAAGGGGAAAAATATTATGCATATTATAATATTGAAGGGACCTTAAACACTATAAAAATGAAGAAAGAACATATTTATGTAAGGTAAAATATGTTATATATATTTGTAGGATCAAGCAACTCGCCACCTATCCTGAAACCTAAGGTTACCATACAGAGTGGACGTGGAGTTGCACCATCTCCAAGTATAATGCTAACCAACCCAGCTTTCTCGGCTTCCAACAGATCTGATTTTGTGTAATTTGAACTCTTTAATTGCAGTAACTTTTTGAGATCTTTGATATAGTCTAGAATAGTGAGTGTAAATTTAGGTATATTAAGTAATTCTAGATCTGTGTGTAATTTATGATTCTTGTGGTCATTTTTGTATATAAATGCAATAAAAAATGTGTTCATGAATTATCTTACTGCAGTTACTTATGAGAAACCTCATAATACATATATCTATATCTACAAATAGAATTACAAACAAATATTTTATTTCATTTTCTAATTTAGATATGTAACCCAATAAAGACTTTAACATAGAGAATGTGTTTTTAAAAAAGTTCTAAAAGATATAACGTGTTCATTTGTTTCATTATGCATTACCATGGAGGCTTGCTTAGTGAATACAGCTCAGTAATGCCCCCCTGTTACTTATGTTTGAATATGAAACAGAACAGAAAGCAATAATTACCTTTTACAAAAGTCTTTCATCAAAAATGTTAATCTTCTTTAAAACATAATGTTGATTAACCCTCTTCCAGAGTGTAAATATAAGGTTGTGTCTCTTTAAATGACTGTAGTTTTGTATGTATATATTTTACAATTTATTCAGAATATATATCAATTTATTAATTGTTGTACATTGTAACATAAAGTATTTGGCCAAAAACCTGAAAGCATTGTTGGTACCAAAGTTTTTGTATATATTTGACCATACATGTTCATTATTTGTTCTGATTACTTATTCGTACAAACTGCTAATGAATTTGCTAAATTGCTAGACTAACTTGTTTTTGGGGGTTTTATGTGCTTTCATTAATTAGGTGTTTGGTTTTGGTCGTGGAAAAAATTTATACAGATCTTTCTGTATAGATAGTGCATACAGGCGCAATCCTTCACCATTTAAGCTTGACAGTCAGTTGGTTTATGGACTAACGCTCATACATTTCACTGAGATACTAAGTTGTTTTTTTAGATCCCTTGGACATTTTCAACTTGTATTAAAGTGAATTGTTGGACATTTGCCCCCGCTCGTTTTTAATGTATTAAAATAAAACCCTGTATGAAAAAAACAGCTCGTACAGTTGCCCCTTGGAAGAAAGTCATAAATATTATTTTGCGGAGCTTTTGAACCATGCTCAGACACTGCCAGTGTGACCTTTGCATAAATTGCTAAATGACTGTTAATGGGCTGCGTTTTATGAAAACCAAAACCAATCTAATGTTTAGGAGTTCTAACGTTTACATTCTTAAACAGCTCGTTCCATGGTATAAGTTTACTAGTTATGATATTGTTAAGTTTTGCTCAATTTTAATTTAATTTCTTTTATTTCAATATATAAAACTTATTGCTTCACTTATTGTTCCATATTTTGCCATTTTATTTGCTCAAATGAATTTAATTGTAAGATAGTTGTCAATATAAAGAAGAAAAAATGCATTAAAAAATCAATTACCAACAAGGGTTAAACTTACAGCATTTGAAGATAAGGAATTTTAAGATTTTACCAGATTTAAATATAAAAGATAGTTTGATAGAAATTGTTATTATTTCTATCAATACAATGTATTATGTGTTGATGTTATTATAGTTTTTTTGTTTGAAACAGGATTTTATCGAAATATAAACAGTAACTTTACAACTTTACCTGTCTATATTCCATTTAAATCTTTAGTATTAAACTGTTTTACTAATGTATTATAGTTAATAAAAACTTAACTCATATTTGATGTCCTTTTTATTTTACCCTTCTTCATTTTACAATCATACTGTGACCTATTTATATAGACTGTTCATTAAACCCCCCCTCCCAGATGTGTTAACAATTTTAGTCAGAAATACGATATTTCGTTCTTACATGCCATTTCATTTCCTTTTGTTATCTCACTATAACTGCAAGATGTGTTCTTTATATTTTCATAAATTTTATCTTCAGGACTTACATAGAAATCTTCTGAAATTGTAATTGAGGACAGAAAATAGAACATAGAAAATTTTAATTAGGGATATAAAAGCTTGACAACGATTGCAAAAATTGCGAATGTCTTTTCACAGAATAATATCGTCATATACCTTACAATATTTTAATAGGATTTACTAAAAGTGATATCAAAAGAGTTTGGCTTATGTCATTAGTTTTTTCATCAACATTCTTATAAACTTTGTTTTAAATTTTCTTATCAATTTTGTAAAAAAGAAGAGAAGAAATGAGTGGTTGGGGATTATGGTTCTTCGCATTAATTTTATATTTCAGATCTTGCCGTGCCACCGCCTTGCAAACTTTAAAGAAATTATGTTTACAGTTCCTGGCTTAACATACAATTTAAATTACAAATGTTTTTAGATATGTATTTCTGTCTAATTTGGAGTTATCGCATCTAGGAAATCGTTTTGACGAAAAGAAATAGGCTATTATACATTAATTGGATGATACAGCGCCTATGTAATTTATTGAATTATTTTATGTTTCTATGCAAGGGTACAGTAAACAGCTATGTTTTTCATATATTTTTCTAAATAGCCGGTTTAACTTATGCTGAGACGGCGTTTGTATCTTAGGAGTTACATACATATAAATCTGTCGGGGGAGTGGAGGAGGAGGAGTAGTTCTGGTATTATATGCCTGATCTCAACTTACGAATGTGATCGTGGACAAGAATCACCTAAATGTATTTTACAATGTAGAAGGCTTTGTCTGAATTTTGTTTTCTGCTGCAAATTAAAAGCGTCTGACTGTGGAGTATATTGTGTTCAGTTTTAATATAACACTTCGGCTCAGTTTGAGTTTTTGTTTATATCTGCATGTTGCTGATGTTTATTTGTTTGTTTGATTGGGTTTTACGTTTTACCGAAACGGTATACCGGTGGAGGAAGACCTCAGGTGCCCTTCCGTGATAATTACAGGCACGATAGAGGGCACCTGAGTAGCCGTAAGCTAGCTGGATAGCTTCCGCACATGAACTAATCCAAAGTCTCTGTCGGGATTCGAACCCACAGCGGTAATCGGCAAGTGATGTTGCATGGAGACATTTTCAAAAGAGACATTTTCAAAAAGAGAAATGTTACATTATAACAATTTATGAAGTGAAATTAATTCTGCACGCCTCCGGATGAGCCTCCTTTTTCAAGAAATTCAATCTTTTGAAAAATGTTTATAAAGTATAAATATTCAATATTTAATTAATTATTTACATGTTATGTGTGGTTAATAAATGATTTTGCAGTATCAACCACTATAATTCTGCGTTACTAATGCAGTCAGAGGTATTTATGTATATTTTGACCTCTTGGTAAATTACGTGGATTGTAATTGCCGTTTCCAATGTGTAAATTACTTTCTTTGTTCACTTCACAATATTATTCTTCTAAATACATTTTTTTTTTAAAATATAACATTTTGAGATGCCCCAAACGAATCACGTGTCCTTTCTTGTCTGCCTCCAATTATGCTTAACAAATTAAGAGTTTAACCCGCTGATATGTGTGTAATGGATTTTAATGTGCATGATGGCCTTACGTGCTGGTCTGGCGCTTGACCGGTCGCAAAGGCTAGTTACTTTAGGTTCTAGAAGTCATTCTGTAGAATCAATTAAAGATAGTCCATATCCTGCTAAATATTTATGTAATTGTCTTGCCCAACTTTTCATAAAATATGCTAGTTTGTCTACAAGGCTTTTCACTTTTGGTTCTATGATAAACAAAATGAGTCGTCGATTGGTTGATTAATTTTATTTGGATTTAATACACACAATGCTACACATTTTGAATTTCATAAAATCTCGGTGAATAACGGAAATAACGGGTAAGCAAGGTCCGGTCTGATCAGCAGTTTTGTGTTTATCGCATATTTTCATAACATCACGTTATGACAATATGAATATCAAACAACTGTTAAAATTGTGTGAAAGTTCGTTTAAATTTCTCTTATTTACACTGGTTTATTACAGATTTTCACAATAATAATCAATAAGACAAAATGGTAGCACGTCGTGTGCACTAATTTCCATGGCAGTTGATTGTCTCATTATGTCCCAGGTAAAATGAACAAAATAAGATGCTTCTTAATCAGTTACGGGATTGCTGCTGAACAAACTCAAGGTTTCAAAAAGCTCTCATAATGTGAAACGAGGTTAGGTTAAATTATCAACTTATTTAAGATTTGAAATGAAAATAACAGCAAATTCTTCACACAAACAGTAGAGATTTCTTATCAATATAAATATATCACAAATGGTATAACTAATCCCAGTTTACTTATACAATGAATAATAATAATAATAATAATAATAATAGTAGTAGTAGTAATAATTATCCAATATTTTCAAAAAAGTTGTTCTTTCTGTATTGTTGAACATTTTTTCAATCTCATCTTAAAACTTGAAATACAACTGGTAAAAGAAGGACGCACAACGGCTTGTTTCCAATGGGTCACGTGTTAAAGTACAAATATATATCAAAACAAGCAATCATAACACCATCAATCATATTTAAAAGGATTCCCAATAAAATGTTTGACATTTACGTGTGGCAGTATCATATTTAATGTGCAATGCTTCTTTTCATTGACAAAGATAATAAACTGAATTTAAATATATCCATAAAATTGTGATAGTTGAATAAAACCTAAGCTTTGTGCTTACGTATGTTATGAATATTATAAGATTATGAAACTGTCTTACAAACGATCGATCTAATATATTTAAAAATAATTGACAAACATTATATAGCATTCAATTTTTCAAGTAGAAATTGCAAATAAAAAACTAAAGAGCTAAACATCAGGATATCAAAACACATCGTTATTGTAACAATTTAAAATTAACCAAAATAAAGAAAAAGATGATAAAAACAACGCAGTTATAAGAATTCAAAATAATGAAACAAAGTTCTAAAAATAATAAAAATACAATGGTACTACATGTACAAGAATGCAAAATTATGAAGAACAACTACAAAAAATAAAACTATGCAACAACAAGAAATCGAAAATAAGAACATAAAGATGTTGATGGTGATAAAATAACAATAATAAATCTTCAAAAGTTAAAACAACAACTGTATTATAAGCATTTAAAAAGATTAAAGAGATAACGCCTGTGTGATAATTCTAAAAATGAAACATAACTTTTAGAAATAAAATGCCCAAGACTTTTTAAGAATTAAAAGGAATGAAAACTCCAGAAGATAAAAGCGGTTAGTTATTGTAAGATGTAATAATTCAATACAAGAGCGATCAGTGATCACATGTCTCGCCTCATGATGACCAATTTCATGTTGGGACAAGTTTTGTGACAGACGGACAGATAGATGGACAGTGCACAACTAGACTTGTTACTGATAATTCCTGTAAAGTTTGGATAAAATTGCACCAGTAGTTTATGAGGAGTAGTCCGGGCAAGCTTTTGTGTATCTGGCAACACACAGAGAAAAAACACCTTTTTATCAAAGGGCCATTACTCTGCCAAAAATCATTCAACCGGAAAATCCGTGCAATATGCGCAACAACTTGAGCTACAGATCAATCCTGTAAAGTTGCATTGAAATTGCATTAGTGTTATAAGAGAAGTAGTCCGGACAAACTTTAAAAATAAAAATTATTAAAGGGCCATAACTCTGACAAAAATCATTGAACCGAAAAATGCTGACAATATGCACAACTAAACTTGGTACTGATCATTCCTGTAAAGTTTGGATAAAATTGCACCAGTAGTTTATGAGGAGTAGTCCGGACAAGTTTTGTGACGGACGGACGGACAGACAGACGACGGAGAAGTGATCCCTATATGTCGCCACTACTCCGTAGAGGCGACACAAAAATGAGATATATTTTACGTCGCATCAACAAAGTTTAGGTCATTTTGCGACTTTGGAGCTTTACTAGTGGAAGAAAACATCTGCTGCCACTCCGTGTATTATTCCTGGCAAAACGGGCACCTAAGTAGAACCATCGACGTTCCGTAAGATAGCTAGATAGTTTCCTCACATGAAAGGGATTTGAACCAACAACGGTGAAGGGCAGGTAGTTTGAAGAAACGACCTTAGCACACGGCCAAGGACGTCCCTA